AATGTGTTCAAAAATGGTTGGCTTGAATTAAATTCTAACCTCATAGACAAGGTAGAAATAATTCTCCAATATTTTAATTAATAAAAATAGCCAAATTCATTAACTAGTTAAACTCATTATTTAAGCAATTGAATTTATCTCTCATAGACAAGATGTAAATCCCTTTCATTAAATTATCTTATTTCTAGGCCTTATTAATGTGCTTGAATATGGTTGGCTTAAATTATTTTCTAATCTCATAGACAAGTTAGAGATAATTTTCCAAGAATTTAATTAATGAATATGGCTAACAATTATTAATTGCTATTTCATCATTTCAAACAACTAGTCCAAATTATTAATTTTAATCCCTAATTTTCGGTCAACAAGTCAATCCATATTCCTTTAGTCAATTCATGCCCAAAACAAATTTAGCTAATAAAGATCATTTTAACAATTAACAATATAATGAATATATTCAACATTAACAAGGAATTAAACATGGATGATAGCAAAACTTATATTCTGGAACAATAAACTTGTAGAAACTGAAGTATAACTTTCTGGAATTTTTTTCACGAATTTTTGAACCTAAAATCCAATTTTAACAACTAATTGATAATTTTCCCAATTTTAACTAGAAAATGCAAAAAGCAACTAAAATTATTCTAAATACGTTCTAAATTTTATATTGACTACTGGGAGTGATATTACTGTGAATTAAACTAGAATTAGGACAGAAACTAATTTTTTTTACCTTTTTGAGCATTTAATTTAATTTATGCAATAATAACAACTAAATGCCGGAATTAATGAAAATTTACTTCTACTTCGTAAAAATTAACTTTGTTTTGATAAATAACTACCTTGAGGCTATTAAACAACTATATAATTAATTGGAATGGATTTAATGTCAACAACTATTTTATTCAAATTTAAGAAGAAAATGCGAAATAGTGGAATAATTTTCTGAAAATTTTAGAAGCACAGATAGAAAAAACTAAGTACAGATTCAGATTCTACTCATTGAAAGGATGAAAATACATATAAAGAACTCACAATTTGGAGCTAAAATGAGAAAGATATGAAAGATTGAAGTTGAAGGTGCAACAATGGTGGAAATCCGAGCTTTGAGGAGGAAGAAGACGCCCTTTTTGATCTGATTTGGGCTTGAAATTGGTGTGTTTGAGTTCAGCAAAAATCGGGCAATTTATAGGAAAAATTTCCCCGAAGGCGGCCAACCAGGCGGCCGCCTTCCGCCTTCCGTCCTCGTCACCGACAGCGGTCGGTGGCCGGTCTCCGTCAGCCGTAGGCGGCCACAGAGGGCGGCCGCCTTCCGCCACAAATGGCCGCCTGCCGTCTTGTCGTTGGCAGATCGGATCCTGGCGGATCCCGACCGCCGCAGGCGGTCCAGCAGGCGGCCGCCTGCCGTCCTGTCTGGCCGCCTGCCGTCCTGTCTGGCCGACCGGTGGTTGGTTTCGTCCCCTTGTGCCGCAGGCGGCCACCGAGGGCGGCCGCCTTCTTCCTCGTGTCGGCAGCCTTCGGTCTTTTCCTGGTCCCGAGTCAAAGCGAGGTTGACTTCTGATTTTTCCCGTAGGCGGCCAACCAGGCGGCCATTTTGGGCGCCTATTTGGGCGCCTTCTGCCACTTTTGTCTGGCAGATGCGGCTTTTCCTGCTCTTCAACTTTGTCTTCTGAATCACCTTGATAAAATGCTTGCTTCTTCCGGTATAAATGCATTTGTCACTCAAATTGACTCATTTTGTGCTCAATTGACCCGAAATCCCGGGAAACATATTATGAATGTGATTTTCACCTGATTTAATGAAACTTGAACCAAAATATATAAAACATGCCTTTTCTTTCTATTTTCAATCAAAAATCGCTTAAATTTGATAAGAAAAATAAGTACAAAAATGGACTTATCAATCTCCTCACACTTAAGCGTTGCTTGTCCTCAAGCGACGAATCAGTTGTAAACATACTCAAAAGGTAAAGCCTAACTGTATTACAATCTAGTCGCTATTTTAAAGAAGTAGAAACAAAAACCGCTTCTTTTATTCTCAATCTTTAAACATTTTAGAAAAATCACCCAAAATACAAGAATTTAAAATTAGTATTACTTAAGAAAAACTATTTATTATGTTAAACCACCAATCAATTCCTTATCCCAAGGTTTTTCATTATTCTAATTTGGACATTCATCTTGTTCACCATTTTTTATTATTTTTTTTTTATTTTTTTATTTTGCTCTTTTTCACTCTTGTTGGCGGTGTTATCCCATGGTAAATGCATATTTCATTCTCACAGACTGTGATTAACGAATGAAACAGAGCCCCTTTTCGGAGATGGAATTGTCCTATAACAATGAGTTTTGAAGAGGTTTATTAATAGTAACATTTTTTTTTGTATGAATAAAATTAATGTCCAATTAAAACAAATTCGGACCTTTACATTCGCAACCAAAAACCCATAACAAATTTAAGTTTTCAAAAATAATAATAAAAGTAAATTTTTATAATAAGGGTGATTATCTAAACTATTATGTGATTGATAACAAATTGAGAAATTAATGTTTCATATCAAAAATAGTAAAAAGATTGTTCTAAAACAATGTTTTAACTTTTGAGTGTAAAACGCAACCTTTCGGCAACAGCGCCATTTGATAGCCACTTTCGCGGCGTTGTAGTAAAACGGAGTCTAACCTTTCGGTTTTTCCCCGAGTGTCGTGTCTCTTGAGGAATGGCGGAGAAGTTTCTTAATTTAATTTTAGTCACGGGCTATCGCTAATCGTTGGAAGCTTTTTCAATATAGGAAGTGATTTTGTTCAATATTATGCTAATTTATAACTAGGAGCAAGGGCAATTTAAAGATTAATGTATTAAGATTGAATATTCAAGGATGCAAATAAGGGCAATGAATTGAGTAATTAGAAATGGATATATTCTTGGACCTCTTAATTAGGGAAATTAAGACTAAAATTGGACTAATAATTTCTTTCCTCATGGACAAGAATAGAAACTATTTTCATTAATTTATCCTATTTCTAGGTGTCATTAATGTGTTCAAAAATGGTTGGCTTGAATTAAATTCTAACCTCATAGACAAGGTAGAAATAATTCTCCAATATTTTAATTAATAAAAATAGCCAAATTCATTAACTAGTTAAACTCATTATTTAAGCAATTGAATTTATCTCTCATAGACAAGATGTAAATCCCTTTCATTAAATTATCTTATTTCTAGGCCTTATTAATGTGCTTGAATATGGTTGGCTTAAATTATTTTCTAATCTCATAGACAAGTTAGAGATAATTTTCCAAGAATTTAATTAATGAATATGGCTAACAATTATTAATTGCTATTTCATCATTTCAAACAACTAGTCCAAATTATTAATTTTAATCCCTAATTTTCGGTCAACAAGTCAATCCATATTCCTTTAGTCAATTCATGCCCAAAACAAATTTAGCTAATAAAGATCATTTTAACAATTAACAATATAATGAATATATTCAACATTAACAAGGAATTAAACATGGATGATAGCAAAACTTATATTCTGGAACAATAAACTTGTAGAAACTGAAGTATAACTTTCTGGAATTTTTTTCACGAATTTTTGAACCTAAAATCCAATTTTAACAACTAATTGATAATTTTCCCAATTTTAACTAGAAAATGCAAAAAGCAACTAAAATTATTCTAAATACGTTCTAAATTTTATATTGACTACTGGGAGTGATATTACTGTGAATTAAACTAGAATTAGGACAGAAACTAATTTTTTTTCCCTTTTTGAGCATTTAATTTAATTTATGCAATAATAACAACTAAATGCCGGAATTAATGAAAATTTACTTCTACTTCGTAAAAATTAACTTTGTTTTGATAAATAACTACCTTGAGGCTATTAAACAACTATATAATTAATTGGAATGGATTTAATGTCAACAACTATTTTATTCAAATTTAAGAAGAAAATGCGAAATAGTGGAATAATTTTCTGAAAATTTTAGAAGCACAGATAGAAAAAACTAAGTACAGATTCAGATTCTACTCATTGAAAGGATGAAAATACATATAAAGAACTCACAATTTGGAGCTAAAATGAGAAAGATATGAAAGATTGAAGTTGAAGGTGCAACAATGGTGGAAATCCGAGCTTTGAGGAGGAAGAAGATGCCCTTTTTGATCTGATTTGGGCTTGAAATTGGTGTGTTTGAGTTCAGCAAAAATCGGGCAATTTATAGGAAAAATTTCCCCGAAGGCGGCCAACCAGGCGGCCGCCTTCCGCCTCTCTCCGGCCGCCTTCCGTCCTCGTCGCCGACAGCGGTCGGTGGCCGGTCTCCGTCAGCCGTAGGCGGCCACAGAAGGCGGCCGCCTTCCGCCACAAATGGCCGCCTACCGTCTTGTCGTTGGCAGATCGGATCCCGGCGGATCCCGGCGGATCCCGGCCGCCGCAGGCGGTCCAGCAGGCGGCCGCCTGCCGTCCTGTCTGGCCGCCTGCCGTCCTGTCTGGCCGACCGGTGGTTGGTTTCGTCCCCTTGTGCCGCAGGCGGCCACCGAGGGCGGCCGCCTTCTTCCTCGTGTCGGCAGCCTTCGGTCTTTTCCTGGTCCCGAGTCAAAGCGAGGTTGACTTCTGATTTTTCCCGTAGGCGGCCAACCAGGCGGCCATTTTGGGCGCCTATTTGGGCGCCTTCTGCCACTTTTGTCTGGCAGATGCGGCTTTTCCTGCTCTTCAACTTTGTCTTCTGAATCACCTTGATAAAATGCTTGCTTCTTCCGGTATAAATGCATTTGTCACTCAAATTGACTCATTTTGTGCTCAATTGACCCGAAATCCCGGGAAACATATTATGAATGTGATTTTCACCTGATTTAATGAAACTTGAACCAAAATATATAAAACATGCCTTTTCTTTCTATTTTCAATCAAAATCGCTTAAATTTGATAAGAAAAATAAGTACAAAAATGGACTTATCACTATGGTGCCGCAAAGACCACCACGTGAGCCATACCCTGCATTTGCACAGATCTGCTTGCAATCTGAGCTCATTTTACACCTTCCTGTGCATATTGCCTCTTTTGGTTCAAAATGCTTATTTCCATAAGCATCTGATATTGAACCTTTAAAAAAATAAAATTCAATTATTATAAACCTCAATCAACAAATTAAAACTACAAAATTGAAATGCTTCCCATCTTCTTCATAATAAGCTAAAATGAGAGTAAATCATTTTTATAAAAATAACAATACATATTATAATGAATACCTAAGTTTGCGATCATAATAACAACAACCAGAAATAACTTGAAAAATGAAGCCATTGAAACCAACACTTTTTTTGCAATTCCCTGTCTCAATAAATTGCTTTTTTGTATTTGACAAGAGATTGCAAGGCACTAATGTTAAGGTTATACTACGTATATTTATATGCATAGCTGACAGCCTAATTACACGCTGACGTTTATAATAATAAAATTATGAAAAAAAACATTAACCATTTATGCTAATTTGGTATGTTATTTATTGGTAATATCTTATCTAAATTAAAGCATCAAGGATATAATAATTAATTCATTTTAGTGTTACAATATTATGTCAATCGCATTTGGTATGTGTCTTAATTTGTCCACTTCTAGTACATGACTATTACGTCTGGTGCATTCACGATGTTTCCGATCAAATTTTAAGCATCAGTCTTTGGGACGATTTTAAGCACCTTAAACATAGAAGGAAAGGGGCCACATACGAACATGAAACAATAGTTATAGATTAAAAGTGGGCCAAGTAAAAATAGGATGATCTAAATAATATAATACATACTCTTACGACAAAAACTCAAATTTATTTTCATTATACTAGGTAATAATCTACAATTTGGAAATAAACAATTTATTTGTTAACTTGTGGTAAACTTGGATTCTCGTTGGTGTACATCCACGGACCACGGGTGCATTTAGTAAGCCAAATTCCCAAACAGGTGCATTTAGTATGCTGAAAAGGCAATTTATTAACAAAAATTATATTTTCCTTGTAAATCTGTATGTGTGATTTTATTTTCTTTATCGAGTAATTGTCGTCAATGGTAAACTATTGAAGTTGGATGATTACTAAAAACTCTAATTTAAATATTCTATTAGCTAATTATATTCTAATCTACACAAAGATATATAAATAACAGAAAATCATTTGAAGTATAATTAAAGAAACTAGAGTGACCTCAATGCATAATGAATTAATGATCATAATGTAACTTTAGGCATAATAGTTATATTGAACTTTATAGTTTATACTATTATGTTCATAATAGTGTTCTTCCCAAAGTGCTATTTTTTTGTAAAGCTATAGGAGCAAACCATGAACACATTTGTTCAGTAACAGGGTATAAATAAATTGATACGATCATTCCAACTCATAACATTGTGTAATGATATAACCCATAGGTCAAGGCCTTTTTTAACAAATGAAAAAACCCTGTTAGAGGTCGGCTAATGGGTGTAACTTTCCCTTTTTTGCATTGTTTGTACTTTGTAGATCTTATTACGGAGTATTTATTTATAGAATTCTTTTTTTGTAAATGAATTGACCAAATAATGACCACATATTTATTGATTTTGAGCCAATACTTCGTTTTCCTTCCACTTAATAACAAGTGAACAACCATAACCACAAATATTCCTCAACATTTTCTTCCCGGATTTCTTCTATAAGTTCCTCCCTATATTCTTTTGATTTCTCGAACAATACAAGTTGAAGAAAATTGAAACCAGTGACTGCTTTTCTTTTAATAATGAAAGTTAATAGTGGTTTCTTGCATTTCTCTTTGGGTATTTACATTTTATCGCATGTTTCAGGTGGTAGTCGAAGCTGCCTCAATGGAAGAACTAAAAGCATAAAATGCATTTCCCTAAGTATTAGAATACTCAAATCACTAAATGAATGCACAAGAGCATTATATGACCTTCTCTCTTCCAAAAAATAAGAAATAAGACATAATTGAAATGGAGGAAACTATCAGTTCTGAAATTGTACACAAGGTTTTTCTTTTCTGCCTCTAAACCATTTCTTTAAGATGGATATTAGCAGCATCAGACACCAATGGAATATCAGCATATCTACCAGCAAGCGTACACTTCATGCACTGAAAGATCATCATGAGGAACCCAACAGTAACAGCCGCCCAAATATGTGTCCCAATATTATTTCCCCAATGCACAAAAGGGGGCGTCCAACCATATACAATGATGATGATATGCATCCAGTTCTCCAACAGAATCGCCATTATGACATGGAATCTGAAAAAATGTGGCCATTCCTTTCTCTTCACTACAGCAAAACAAGCTGTGAAGGTATATGCCATCAAAAGCCAGCTGGGCAATCTTCTTAGAAAGTTATTGTAAGGGTTTGATAGATAATCGGATTTCTCCACAAAGGGTCGAAGATGGAATGATTCGCCAGCAAAATACCATGTCAGATGGAGAGGCATTAAATAGGGAAGACACGCTAAGGTTCTCCACCACCATTTCGGTTTCTCCGCCATGTCATGGTAAAAACCCTTAAATGCTCTTGTAGTGAGAGAGAAGTGTTCTTTTCTTGGTGAATTTAGAGTATCACATGAAAAGAGGGTATGACTGTTGGAAGCAGGTGAAGGCACATCATAGGTTATGTCCTTGAAAGCTTTTGTATGTGAGAGAGGATAACAGGGTTGCCTTGGTAATTTCAGCTTTGCACATGAGGCTGCACACATTCTCCATTGCGAAAGTAGTGGTGATAATGAAGAAACTCCTGAAATGACAACAAAGTGCACAGCATGCTGAGACAAGTAGTGAAATCTACATTACAATTAGTTCACACCAGTAATATTTTATGTTTTTAACAACTGTCACATTACGAATTTCCTAGGATTAATACATTAGTTTACATCACTCCACTTAGTATATACCCTATCGGCCTAATTCACTAATCTTCATTATGAATATTAAGGAATAGATTGTATTTAATATGTAGAAGGGATAAGTGACTATTTATATCTTGCCTGAGATTGAGTTACCCAGGTGCTTTTCATAATTCAGGTGCAAAGCTAGTTTGCTACAGTTTTACAGAAACGGATAGAGTATGAAGTACAATTGAAAGATACAGGGGTCTAACTATGTTAAGAAAACTTAACATCACCAGCATGGCTGCCTGGCCCTAATTTGGTGTGCTACACTTTTACAGAAACAGATAGAGTATGAAGTACAATTAAAAGATACAGGGGTCTAACTATGCTAAGAAAACTTAACATCACCAGCATGGCTGCCTGGCCCTAATTTGTTCATCATCTAGGTTGTTAAACTCAAGATCCTAGAAAAGAACGAAAGTGTGTGGTTGTTCGTAACTTGTGGATCATAACTTAATTCGAAGATCCTAGTCTCCTAGTTCATATTTGAAATTTATAAAATTTGTACCCGTATATAACAACTTAAATTTAAGGGGTAATTTGAGTTTGCACCCCATGTTATGGTCTAAATTGGACTTTGCACCCCGTTTTTAAAAATCTTTGATTTTGCACCCCAACCCCATATGAAAAGACAAAAATGTCCCTCCATTAACAATTGTGTTGACCTTCAACATATTCCTAATTGAGGGCATTTTTATCTTTTCATATGGAGTTGGGGTGCAAAAACAAATATTTTTAAAAATGGGGTGCAAAGTCCAATTTAGACAATAATATGGGATGCAAACTCAAATTACCCCTAAATTTAAAATACAGTCACATTTCATCTACACAAAAAAGCTGTTTTGTTTTATGTCTTATATATCATAATACCACTTAAAGACATTTTTCATTTTTGCATTTCAAAACAAAATATTAATTTAAAATTCACTGGTAAAAAAGGAAACAAATAAATTAGATATTTAACAGCAGTGAATGAAAATAGAATAACTTAAAGAAGTTAAATGATTGCATGAAAACTTAAATTTAAAATACAGCCATATTTCATCTATACAAAAAAAAGCTGTTTTGTTTTATGTCTCATAATTCATAAATCATAATACCACTTGAAGGCATTTTTCATTTTTGCATTTCGAAAGAAAATATTAATTTAAAAATTCAATGGTAAGAAAGGAAACAAATAAATTATATATTTAACAGAAGTTAATGAAAATATAATAACTATAAGAAGTTGCATGATTGCATGTTGCGGACTGAGAGGACTTGGAGATTTGATAAAGAAAAAACTGTTAGGCACAAGTATACCACGAGGAGACGAATCTAACAGAAACAACAAAAACTTGCTGAGTACTACTATTGTACTAATGAGGTGATGAGTGACAAAAGATGAGGAAGAGATGGAGAGAAGAATATAAAACCAATTCGGATACATCAGAGAGAGATGGACAGAAAAAGCAGATATAAAGAGTTCAGAAGATTTGACATTTTGCAAGTCTAAAATCATTTTTTATGGATCTGGGCCGATGAGGCAATGACTATGATACAACCCAACGAATGTCTTTCATACTTTCCTGGATCGACACGGCACGACGATCTAGTAATGTCACGACCAAGCACAGTGATCCTAGTCGCCTACCTTTTTCCGATTCTAATAGTGACCCAAATCACTTACCCCTAATCTTCCAGCATGGGATCTTAACAAGAATGTTCAGCATCATGGTTTAAAAAGGGCGGGTTTTGAGGTGCGCCTCAAGGTGAGACATACAAAGAAGGTATCAGGGCTTAGGTTTTTTCCGCAGGTCACGAGGCTAATGCCTCCAAAATTAAGGCATACACCTTGAGGCACGATTTCCTTTGATCTATCTTTTTATTGTATTGTAACTTAAGAAAGGACCAATGCATTAGATTTAAATACAAGGTCCATAGATTAAACATGTGCCCCTAGTCTACACTAAAGCCCTAACAAGTCTTGTTTCATTTAAAGTAATTATTATTAGTCATTTAAATGTTTGCATTCTTCTGCACAAAGAAGTGTTCATACTCCTGCACAAAGAAATCGACAACTTCTTTCTCCTCTCTTCTACTTCATCCCCTTCTCCTCGTCTATTACTCTTCTTCTAAATCTCGTCTCCTTCTTCATCTCCTCTCCTTCACTTCCTCTTCTCCTTGTACTGAGTTGTTGGTCATGTTTTCCTAGAACGGTCAATGTTTTACAAAAGACTGAAAGATAGACACCTCAAATTAAGACCTCTAACCGATGATGAGGAAAATCTTTTGGTTGATGAATTGCCACCCGATGATGAAGGGCTTGTTTTCATATCTGTGTTTGTCTTTCAGACCTTTTGGACTTATATGCATTTCTTTAGTTGCTTACTTGTTTATTACTAGTTTAACTAATTTCAGTTTTATTTGTTGGTATATTTTGGAGAGTCATGGCGGACCGATTAAGGTGTTGTTGTGTGATCGAGAGGTCACAGGTCAAGTCTTGGGAGCTGCCTCTTGTAAAAAATTTGACAGGGGAAGGCTTGCCCTTTATACACCCTTATGGTGGGACCCTTCTCACGATCCTCACCTTGCGGGGATGCCTTTGTGCACTAGGCTTCCCTTTTATTTGTTGGTATATTTTGAGACTTACGCTTCAATACGGCTCGAGGCTTACGCATCACCACTCCGGAACAAACCACCATGATACCTGAACTAGCCTTTTTAAACCTTGGTTTGTTCAGCGTGTATATCAAGTCTAACTCTATTCAGAAGTTCCGAATCTAATCATTAATTAAGAAAAGAACCATCACTTAATAATTACTAAACTAATGGACATTCAGAAAGACAAGAAACTGCTAAACTGTGAAGAAACTTGTTCAATTGCCAAAATAAACATTGAAGAAACTTGTTTTTTTTCATATGAACAATCAATAAAATGTGAGAACGTGGTAAATGGTTTCATAATAAACCTAAAAGGAAAGAAGAAATTGATTAACGTTTCCATTATGGAATTTCCTATCCCTAACAAATAGGGATCCAATATCAAACAGTAAGAGGCATGATGTCTGCAGCAAAACTGTAAAGAGAATGCTCTCCTAGAAGGACAAGTACTGACCTCTGTAGTGAGAGGACAAAATACTTTGACAAGGTCTGAAAGGACCTTTTCTGATGGAAGATATTGCAACTCGGAAAGGTGGGCGTAGAACACACGAGAATGATGAATTATAAGACTGTGTGTTGCTGGACATATGAGGCATATAAGCAACTCCAGAAGCAAGACATGATACATTTGGCATCATATCCAAACCCTTCATTCCAGACCTGCACAGGGGTGGACCTAGCATTTCAATCCAGGTGGGGCCAAAACTATCATATATATAATATATAATATAATATATAATATAACTTCAATTGCATAGCAACAGTCAAATACAAAAAAATATATTGCAAATGTTTTACGAGAATAAGAGTTTCCATTGAAGTAAAATATGAAAAGCACATCATAATTCATAAATTAATATATTTTTGCGGGCTTTTATAGAATGGTATCCCCTGATAATGACACCATCACTGTCAATTTTCAAGAAGATTTCTTTTTCAAAATGATACCTTTTTGTCTATGGGTTTACATAATCTATTTGACATTTCTTCAATCAGATCTACTAGAGGCCTTTACAATCCTTAGTTTAGTACCTCCATTCACTTCTACTTCAATAGAATTATAGTATCCCTTCAAATCTACCTTCATTAGTTTTTTGTACTCTACAAGACTACACCTATCCACCACATCATACCATAAGTTAGAATATAGCAAAAAGATTCTCGCAAGTATATTAGAAACAGTAGGATTAATATTCATGGACACAAATCATACTCATATCATTAATTGCCCGAATACGTTCAACACAAACCACAACCAAATTACATATCACCGATTCATGTAAATTGATCTATGATAGCAAACTTTCTAAATATGCAATGCAATGGAAATGCCTAGCATGTGTTAGTCAGTAGTCACTACAATTGAGGTCAAACAAATAGGCAGATGCATTTCGGTTTGCTATGAATTAGAGGTATAAGAAACAGGAAAATAAACTTTTTCGTATTTAGCCGGAATAACAAATTTCAATTCCCTAAATTTCACTAAATGAAATTTCTGATCATTACAATTTACTAATTGAACAAAATGGTAAATTAGTACTCCATATTTGATTTTTTTTCTCAAACGCAACATAAAAATTACAAAGTTAATCAGGAAGAGTGGAAGTTTTTGTCTTTTGAACAGAGTGGAATTTAGGTTTACCTAGCTGAGTAGAGAGCCGGAAAGACAGAAAGCAGAGTTTTTCCGGCGTGCGTGGGCTGCAGACTCGCTGAAGACGGGTTGTCGCCTAGTCACCCGTGCTGAACTTTCGAAGAAGACATGACGAGAGACGATTGTTCGACAGACTCATGCTGGTTTTAGTTTTTGCATTTGGGCCTGATGGACAGCCCCGTATGCCAGAGCCCTTGGGATCTTTTTAGTATGGGCCTTATTTTCTCCATATCACTTCCATTTTTAAATAATTGCAATATTTATGGATTTTATATTATTTACATCATCTAATTTAATTACTAGTATATTTTATGTATTAATGTATTAAAATATACTCAAAATAACATTTTCAAATTTATATTATATCAAATTTTCAAAATGATTTTTTTTTAACTTTTTACTAACAACAACTTTAATATATGTATGATCAAAGTTGTACATTGATAAATATGAAAATAAGATTATTCTAAATAAGGAGTGGATATGCAAAAAAAAACTAAAGAAGAACGGATGAAGAATATGTTACCCCCTCCATCCTTCTAACTTTGTGTCATTTTACATTTTTTCGTTCGTCCCATTGAGTTTGTGTCATTTCATATTTGATAATATTTGGTTGTTTACAATTCATTCTTACTTTATTTATATTTTATTAATTCAATATCAACCACGTAATTGCATTTAAAAAAAACTGCATCCCACACTATTGTCTCAATCTTAGTGGGGCGAAAGTAATACTATTCCCCCTTCATTTCAGTATGGGCCTAGACCATACTTAGCATAAGGACCAATCTACCCATGATTCCCATGAACCTACTTGCTGTATAGCAGATTATGAAGGAAAACATATCAAATATATAATAAGGCTTGTTTGCAAACACTTCTGTTTGGTTAATGGCCCAGGCTTAGGACCGGCCCATTTACCCTTTCTTCCAGACGTACGTCCAGATAGGTCACTAAGATAGCTTGGCAAGCCTATCCCCTCCAGGATGGACGAACATCTTCAGATGGGGTTCAGTCTCAACAGCCCATCTCGACGAACGTCTATGCAGGGACAAGGAGCAGGACGACAGGCCACCTGAATGGCGACGAACGTCGCCAGAGCAAGCCCATAGTCATTTGAGGTAGTCCAACCCACATGGCGAGAATCCATGGAGGCCAGGGGACGAACGGCTGATACCCCTTAGAGGCCACCTGGAGCAATCCAACTCGCTCCCCTGGCGGGCGAACGTCCCCACTAATTAGGCGGAAAACCTAGATTCTGGCGGGAAGTGCATTTAATGCTGAAGATTTGGTGGTTGAGACACCAGCGAACCACAGGCTTCCACGTCAGTATAGCCACCTGCCCATTGGTGGGTATAAATAGAAGCATTTATTTCATTGTAAGGGGTTGGCAACTTTCTATTCTTAGCACTCTAGCTATAGTATTCTTATTCACAGCACTTCTACTGCCTTGTGAGACGAACGGCCGACGGAGCCTTAGCGGAAAGTATTGTATTAGGGAGTTATTAAGAGATAATAATACCTAATCACTTACTTGTCACCTGATTGTTTCTTGATCCTTATTACTTGCTAGTTGGGTTAGTTCACTCACACACACTTCACTCGAAATCCTTGGGCTTACGTGTTGGACCCGAGGGTTGAAGGAATAAACATCAACAACTTCAAAAAAGCGTTTCCCAATTTTTGGCTTAAAAAAGTTAAAAAAAGTGTTTTCAAGTGGCAACTTTTACTTAAATTAATACTTAAAAGATAAAAGCTAGATTTTGTTTTTTACTTCTTCTATTACACAAAAAACACTTATTTTACCAAACGCTACCAACTTTTACTTGTGAGTAGTGTTTGCAAACAAAGCTTAAGTTAGGTAAAATCAAGTGTGGTTAATGTAAACATTTTTTGTGTACACATTCATACATTTGTTTGTCTACGCACATCTGCAGGATCCTACATATGTGTAAGATAATTTTAGTGGTTCAAAATATTTCACTTTATTATTATACTCAAATTTCAACCACAATTTTTACATTTTCCCGGACCTTATTATTCATTGTACCAAATTCAAATGATGAAGGAGGTATTATTTTTAGGGGAAAAGGGGCAAATACCCCCTTGAAGTTCTCACCAAAGAACAACTAAGCCCTTAAACTTTTTTATTGGGCAAAAAGCTTTAAAATCATTGAAAGAGGGGCAATCACTCCCTTGCTAATGGCGAACTAGTTAACGTTGCATCTATGGAGTTTTCAATTAGTTCATTTGATTACTGTTGAGGTTTATACCTTCAACCCTTGGGTCCAACACGTAAGCCCAAGAGTTTCGAGTGGATAGATGTGTGAATAAACTAGCCCAACTAACAAGTACGATGGAATCAAGGGGAACAGGAAATAGCAAGTAAGTGATTAGGTATTATTATCTGTTAATAACTCCCTAATACAATACTTTCGCTAAGGCTCGTCGGTCGTTCGTCTTACAAAGCAGTAGAGGTGCTGCGAGTAAGAATGCTATAGCTAGAGTGCTAAGAATAGAAAGTTGCTAACCCTTTACAATGAAATAAATGCTTCTATTTATACCACCAATAGGCAGTTGGCTACGCTGACGTGGAGGACTGTGGATGGCTGGTGTCCCAACCACCAAATCTTCAGCATTAAATGCACTTCCCGCCAGAATCTAGGTTTCCCGCCTAATTAGTGGGGACGTTCGTCCACCTGGGGAGGTGAGCCGCTCCTGGTGGTTTTGCAAAGGGTACTGGGCCGTTCGTCCCCTGGCCCTTGGGGGATTTCGCCATGTGGATTGGATTGCCTCCAGCGGCTATGGGCTTGCTCTGACGACGTTCGTCGTCATTCTGGTGGCCTGTGGGCCTGCTCCTTGTTGGCTGCGTAGACGTTCGTCGGAATGGGCCGCTGAGCCCGAGGCTCTTCTTCAGACGTTCGTCCGTTCTGAGTTGCCTGTCAGGTTAGCCTAGTGTCTTATCCGGACGTACGTCCGGGTGAAGGGGTAAATGGGCCGAACCTCAATTTGGGCCATTAACCCAACACAAGTCCCCCACTTCTGATGTTCTGAGCATGCACAGGACATAAGGAAGTATAATGCCCCTCAAGGGTAGGACGCTCGTGGCCTAGTACTTGTGTTTGTTGTACCCTGCGAAGGCCGCTCGTGGTCATGGTGCCTACCAGCTGGCAGTGGTTCAGGAATCGAGGTGACGGCTGCCATAACAACGGTACAATTTCCGAGGAAATATCATCATTACGCTTCCATCCCACGCACAGCTAGTGGGCCGGGATACGCTCCTCGCTACGTGTCATCCCCCCGTTGGTTCCTCCATCGGTGCTGCTCTTATAAATGCCGGGTTTTCCCCTTAAATTAGGGTTCCCGATTTCTGCTTTCTCGCTCTAGAATCTCTGCTGCCCTCCGAGTTTCCTCCCTGCTTCCAAGTTCAGCTAATCTTCTTGTAAGGTAATTTTCCCTCTTCTCCTTTTTCTCTCTGTCTAGAATTCTTGCAACAATGACTTCGATGGAGATTTTGTCGAGCTCTAGCTCTAGTTCATCGGGCTCCGGTTCTGGTTCCTCTTCGGATTCCGGTCCGCGCTCCTCTGGAAAGCCTAGTGTCTCCGGCCATTCCGGCTCTGCCTCCACCGTGGGAACTGTTCAAACCGATGATACTCAAGATGTCGTCCCTTCCCCGGCTGCGGGGGATGCGAATGCCACCTCCAGTGGCACAGCCCAAAGTAGCGGGGGGAACACTGAGGATGGAAATGTTGACGGGGCGGTGGATGTTATTGATGCGATCCCCCTGAATGAGCGCCCCGCTGATTATGATTCTGGGGATGAGGCCGAGTCCGGCTCCGATATGGAAGTGCATGAGCTGGGCATCCCTATCGATGTGGAGCGCCACATTTGCCCGATCAAGAGTGCCCTTGAACATGAACAAGCCCTCTCCCGTGTTGCTTTGAACAAGATCCGGACTTTCTTCCCCCCCGCCGTTCGTCTATAGCGTGAGAGGCGCCGAGCATGTGATGAGAAGACGACCGGGAATGATTATGCTTCATTTGGATTCTGTCGAAGCCGGGCTGCGGTTCCCGCTTCGCCCATTCTATGTGGAGTTCTTCCAATGCTTCCAGGTGGCCCCGACGCAATTCATGCCTAATTCTTATAAGTTTATATCGGCCTTCTTGGTACGCTGTAAACTCGCGGGAGCCACCATTACTCTGGATCTGTTCCATTATTTCTATCGGATCACTCCTCAGAACTCTGATGGCTATTTGAGCGTGGTCGCACGTCCGGGGAGGAGGTTGTTCAAGAGTTATCCCTCCTCTATCCACGATTGGAAAAATCGATTCTTCTTCCTCCGATATGACGGCCCTCCTCTCCCAATTCGCTGGAAAGGTTATCCCCCGAAGATTGAATCACCGGAATTGACCGACGAGTTGAACGAAGACGTGGAGAAAGTGCTGCAGGGCGGCATTCGTCCCATAGCTGGTTATCTAACCTTCGAGGCACTCTCCAGAGCAGGCATAGGTACCGCCCGTGTCTCTGGACCTTTCCCTCCCTTCGACGCTCATCTCAGGGCATCGGGCGGTCCTGTCCTTTGAGGTGAGTGTCTCGCCCCGCTCCCCATTCGTCCTCTAACACTTTGTTGCTTTCATGCAGGTTCTCCACCAAACGAAACGCAAATGAATCACGCCGAGTGCATGAAGACTAGGAAGGCCAAAGCGGCTGCCGCTAAGGCCGCAGCGGCCAAAGCCAAGAATGCCCTCACTTCTGACTCCAACTCTTCGGCCTCCGATGCGGCCCGTCGAACGGCCGAAGGTGAGCAACACCTTATTTCCACTGTGTTTGGCCAGGGGACCGAAACCCCGCAGATCGAGGCCGTTCTTCCTCCGCCGATTGCCCCCACGCCGGTGGTCTCTCAAAGGGGGGCAGAGAAGGCCCCGGAGAAGAAACATAAGAGGAGTCGCGATGCGGGTTCCACCGGCCCTCTGCTCGAAGACGCCGGTTCTCTGCCTCTAAGCCGTCCGGCGGTAGATCTCTAGAGGGAGCTAGCCCTCAAGGCTGGCCTTGAGCTGCTCCCCCGTTCGTCTTCTGAGGCGACTAGCGCTGCTTGGCAGCCGCCATTCAGGTATTTCCTCAACACTAGACTTGTGTACATCTTCTTCTTGTCGCTCATCTTCTGACCAGGGGTTCCTCTTTTCTTCCTTTGTCCAGTCTGGGCTACTTGTCCTGCAAGCCGAGGCTGCCAGGGAGGCCAACCTGAGAGAGGCCAAAACGAAAGCTGATGCCGCCGTGTCCAAAGCCCGGGAGGCCGCCCGTCGTGCTGAAGCAGAGGCCGCGGCCAAGGAGAGGGAGCTCCAGGCCCTGCGGGCCGAATCCCACAGCCAGCTGGCCAGTCTTGAGAAAGCCGGCTTCAAGCTTGTGCCGGTGCTCCCTATTGAGAAGGATGCAGTCCCATAGTGGCTGGTCGATACCTCCGGCTATAGGAACACCGGGGAGTTCATGGATTCGGCCAAGGATTACTGCGCTAGGGCCTTCGTCGACGTGTTCTCGGCAGCTCTGGCGAAGATACCACCCAAGCAGCGTCTGACGTGCGACGTCCGGATCCTAGAGAGCTCCACCCTGTCCCACAAGTTCCTCTACGAGGTCGGCGACAGTACCTTCGCCGCTGGATATAATGAGGGGGTTAAGGCCACTCTCCCCATCTTTGCCAAGCTGCAGGGGGCCGATTTTGACCTTGCTACGAACACGGACGACGACCTGTTGATCCAAGCTTTGGGGAAGTTGGGGAGGGATCGGCGCCGGGAAGAGGCCAAGGCCAGAGGGGAGATCCCGGAGCCTCCGACCCCCGAACCCGAAGCTGAAGAGGAGGAGCTTAAGTAACCATACAAGCTCTAAGTATGAGTTAACAATATCAATTCTAATTGCTCGCTGGTTGTAATTCTTAGGCCACGAATTGCAATATTTCAGCTCTCCAATTGTAATTACTCAATCAAGTTTAGAAAATGATCCCAATAATATTATTCCTATAAACATTTTACACAATCAAAATCAGTTATACGAGATGGTTAATTATTCTCCCTAAAGTATATTTAAATACGAACACAGAACATGGTCAACATAAACTTCATCCCTAGTGGCGGAGCTAGAAAAGGGACTCAAGAGGTTGAAACTTAACTAATTACATGATAAATTGATTGTTCGTTTCAAACAATACTCGAGTTGAATGTTCATATGTAGCTTTAGATAATGATAATTTAAAGGCTGAAGGATCAAATACGCCCTCTAACTAACTTAAAAAGTGTAATTCACCTCTTAGATAAGAGGCTCTGTCCAACCGTCGCCAATAGGGGCGGTCCCGATGGATTTTTTTATGAAATGTTTTGAGCATCTTCTTCCTTAAGTCTAGTTTACTCATGCCAAATTTCAGCTAAAAATTCAATCGGGAAGACAGTCAAATAAAATTTTGAAGATAACTGCGCAGTTAAACAGTGCAATACATTTGATAAAATGTTTCACTTTTAAGTTAGTTCTAGGCCTATTTGACACTTTAGCCTAACTTAAAATGTTGCACTTTTTAAGTTATGCATTTGCAATATATGTCATATAAATTATGAACATCACGTAATTAATGAGTGAATGAAACGTTATTTTTAAAATTTCATAATATAAACAATATTACTCATCAAAATTTTACTTATTTATTTTTTAGAATCAAATTTTACTCATTTCAAGTTTACATAGTGTTGATTTTTCAAAAGTCTTGATATTTTACTCGTAAATCTAATGACCTACGGAGTCATAATATATCAAATCAAAGGTATTTAGTGTTTCATATTCTCTAACTTTCATGGGGTCAACTGACCACCTGACCCCTCTTGATTCCTTGGTTCATCACCCTCAATAAATAATAAATACATATTGTTTTCTTAAGAGTCTAACTTTTTATACTAACAACAACCACATATTGTTTTCTTAATAATACATATTCTATCAAAATCTGAAGAACAATCAAGATGTCATATAAAATCCTCATTCACAACCTTTGGGGCATATAAAATATGGTTTTAGAATCTCAGTAACTTAAATTACTATAACTTATATAAGGGAAATTTTAATTAATAGAAAATAAGAAAATGGTCGGACTGTATTGGATGTCAAGTCAGATTGGTTGAGTATAAAAGAAACTCTCCAATCTATGAAATTATAAAATGAAAGACCTAGATGAAAATGGCAAAGGTAGAGTTTTTGTTGGAAAAATTAAGAATATTTCAAATGAAAATATTTTATTTATTTATTTATTTATATATTTTGATGAGATAGTTTTAATTAGGCTTGGGACCGGTTCGGTTCCTCTTAAAAAACGGAAGAACCGTTAAGAAAATCACAATTCATGTTATCGGTTCGGTTCCAATAAAAAAAATGTGGAACCGTTATGGAACCGAACTTATTGTTAACGGTTCGGTTCTTATCATTTATCGGTTCTTAAAAGAACTATAAACTTTCAGTTTCTGCCACAAAAAAGAAATACATCACAAGTTTAATCAATCAAACTATTACCCCATTTGAAATAACCACCAAATTTAAATTTAAAAGTTCGGGATTGTAAGAAGTTACGATGTATTGACACATAAAAGTTCAATTGCTCAAAGAAAAAAGTGGAGCTTAGAAAAGTACAATCAATTCAGTCCATAATTCCAAAATTAACAATCTGTGAATTAGTAATCACTTCAATTGCTCCAAAATTAACAATCTGTAAATTAATAATCCATAGTTCAGCCAAATTAAAGAGAGACAAATACACTTGTAAATTAGTGAAGTAATGGGTTTAGGAATGACTGGACTACTGGAGTAGTTGTAAGCAATCAGACTCACATTTGGAGTAGTTATAACTACTCCTATGTTTTGTAGAAATATGCAATCATACTCACTAAAAATCAACACATTTATATCATAAAAATTCTTCTTCAGAATTATGATTCAGGCTCCTAGATTAATATCCATTAATCCCTTTAGTAGGGTAAATGATAGTTTTTTCTATCTTTAATAGAAATATGAAATACACACTCAATACAACATTATTCTTTATATGAGATTAGATAGTTATCAAAAAAACACAGCACTAGGTGGTGCTCTTTGAGTTACTCATAGGCTAGAACAGATTATAACATTACTTGAAAGAATATCTCATAGAGACACTTTAACAAACACCTTATAGGCATCCCAAAATTGAGACAATTTGACATAAACTTCTTCATGATTTACCCCTAACATAAAGAAACCAAATACACTCTACAAAACTCTACACAAAACATATACCAAAATCAAACCTTAGAATGAAGAATAAAAAATGAGGTGAAAGCATAAACGAAATATGGTCCTTCTCAAGTATTGGGTTCATGAGTTGGTAACTGTCAAGCTAAATATCACATTTAAAGAAACTAAACCAATATTTGATAAAACAATTACACACAAATCGAGTTTGAAGTATTAAATAATTAAATATCAGATGTTTAGCTTAAAAATTCATTACCTAGATATGGATGGATAGCAGCGGTAAACAATGGGATATCGGAGGTTAGTGAAGAAGGAGAAGTATTTGGCAGAGAAGAAGCAGCGGTCGACGGTGAGCGGCGGTTGAAGGCGAGGAAGCAGCTCTCATCTCTAGTTCAGCTGGATCTCTGCTAGTTTTTGACCCTTTGCTCTGGAGGTTCAGCAATTTCTATTACGATCTAACTTATGGCTAAGACGCGTCTACGCTACCTTACACCTTAGTTACTTAACCTAATTTTTTATCGGTTCGTTAACGGTTCTAAGGGAAATTTTTAAACCAAAACCGGAAACCGAACCGTTATTAAATACAAGGAACCGAACCGATTAAAACTCATAACCCAATAACAGGAACCGAACCGAACCGGCTCTTAACGGTTCGGTTCTATCCGGTTCTCCGGTTCCCGGTTCCAAAATCCCAGCCCTAGTCTGGTCTGGTTTGTTTAGGTCTAGTCTGGACTAAAAATACTCCAAGTAAAAACATCCTTACTGTCGGGCCGACTGAAGTTAACTTTTTAAAAAGGGAAACGCGTCGCACACTTAGTGCATGTTTGGTAGTAGGCCTGGTATCGGTTCGGTTCGAGTTAGAAAATCACGGAAATGTTTATAAATATATACTCCCTCTGTCCCACTATGATTGTCCCATTTTACCTTTTCGGTCCGTCCCACTAAGATTGTCTCATACCTTATTTGGTAAAATTTGTGTGGTTCTAAATCATTCTTACTTTATTCTTACTTTATCAATTTAATATCAACCACATAAACCCACTTTTATTAGTAACTGTGCCACCTTCTTTTGTCCCAAACTTAGGGGGACGGAGGTAGTAATTTCTAAATTCAGTTCGGTTCTACTAAAAAAATCAATAACCGTTTTGGAAACTAATAAAATGTAAACGGTTCGCTTCTTGCCTTTTTCGGTTCCTAAAAAATCTTCTAAAGTTTGTTAAGTGACCTCGATCTTTCTTTAATTTCTGCTACATAAAACAACTCAGGTCAAACATATGGCATATGGCATATGTTTCTGCAACAAAAACATACAAGATACACATACGAAGTATGACATATTTAAAGTATGAAAGTTCATAATAGAAAATGCATGTTATTCCGCATAAATCATTCTGAATGAACTTAGAAATTAATTGAGTCAATAAGATACCAAGTTTTGTGACTTAAAGGAACAACATAATGAACTGATTAAGTTGTCAAAGTAGAAAAAAATGAAAGTATTAGAATTAATCATTGGTTGATTTAATAAATTAGTGACTTAATGTCATTCCAACTAATAAACTGGTTTATGTATCTAAAGTAAAAACTATCTGTATATCATATGAGTAAAAGCATGGGTAAGGAAAATACATAACCTCCAACTGCAATTCACACAACATATATACCATTCATCTTTTGTGGGGCTAAAAAATCTGTCAAAATAAAATTTATAGTCTATATATAACCCTCTGTTAATTTTAACTCCAAAGCATAACTTTCATCATTTTTAAATCTCCAAAATGTATACTAGAAAATAAAAAATCCCCTAAATTACTTGTGACTTGTGAGAAAGAGTAATTTAATGATCAGTAGGAGAATGAGGTCAAGTATATGGTCTAGTAAGGCATTATGACTCCTGAGTATGAACTATATGATCCATTAATAGAGAAGCATAAATTTTGAAAAAACATCCTTTTCATCGTTTAGACTTTTCGTTGAACAGTTGGCATGCAGCCCGCACTCTATTAGTTCTACCCCACAGTGAATTAGCACTCATCCAGGGCTTGCGAATCATGAGGGCAGTCATTACATTCATCAACTATGTCAATTGTCAATGTGTACCTTGTTTTTATTAACATTCTTGTTCCTACCTATTGGAAACGAGTAAAGGGTCAGTTTGGTCTTCGAAGTTGCATAAAAGATAGGTCTGGGACCGGTTCGGTTCCTCTTCAAAATTGGAGGAACCGTTTGTAAAATCACAATTTTTTATATCGGTTCGGTTCCCAACAAAAAATTCTAGAACCATTATGGAACCGAAACAAGTGTTAACGGTTCGGTTCTTGACATTTTTCGGTTCTTAAAAAACTGTAATGCACCAATTTCCGCCACAAAAAAAGTTAAAATACTCCACAAAGCTGCAATCCATCTAACTATAACCCCATTTCAAATAACCCCCAAATTTATAATTACAAGTTCAGGATTGTTAAAAGTTAGGATTGATTGAAACATGAAAGTTAAATGGTTCAAAAAGTACTAAACTGGAGCTTAAAAAAGGTACAATTATCCTTACAGAAAAGAAGTACATTAATTCAGTCCATAACTTCAAAATTAACATCATATTTATGTCATATGATGTTGCAATCTGGTCTTGACGAATCGAAGTTGCATATTAATAGCTGAAAAAAAACACAGTTTTTTAGAATGAAAAATGGGGTAATACGTATGTTATAGACATATTTTTCAAACATTTGGTATGCTTTAGTTGTCATTATCAAATCTAGTCCTAATACTATTCAAAGAATGGATGCAATTAGCTTATTTTTCATATTGTTTATGTATATATGCATACAGAAATTAAAATGGAACAGTGGAAACTAAATACAAAAAAGGATTAAAAAAATCACCAGAAAGATTAGGATGTGTGAAAAAGATGATAAATGTAGTGGAAACCCAATTTACAAACAAAATGGAGGAAGAGATTAAACCCCTCCAAAACAGAAGTCAGAAACTTCAATTTTCGAAACAAATTAAAAGCTTCAATTTTAATTTTGATGTTCCATATTCTAGAAAGGAGATTGCAAAACTCTGTCACACTGGCAGTCTTGCTTCACAAACGGATTCTCAAAACTTCAGAAGCTTCGTTGGTTTTGCTAGGAGGTTCGAAAGTTTAAATTAAATACATACCAAGAGCAAGAAAAACGTACCTACTGTCTATGACCTCTCCTTGACTCCTTTGATGAATCCGTGAAATCTTTGACAGAGTGAATGGAAGAGCATAGTAGAAGATGAGCGGTGTGGCTAGGGGTTTCCTCCTAATCGGCAAATCCTTGTTGCACTCGATGAAGTCTGAAGCGGACTAAAGGAGTTGTGGGCTGCGAATGGGCTGCGAGTTGTACTGCGTATATTTTTTATTTCTGATTTGGACTACAAAATAGAATAACCCACTAAGAATGAACTAACCGTTCTATATCGGTTTCTTGAATATATTTTTATGTAAAACCGAGAACCGAACCGGTAGTTTACATTAGGAACCGAACAGGTAAGTATTTAACTCCCAAAAACAGGAACTGAACCGAACCGTTTCATATCGGTTCGGTTCCAAACATTTTTTCGGTTCTCGGTTCCAAAATCCCAGACCTAGTTTTAATTGTTCGTTACCTCTTTTCGGCGTGGTGTTTATTGTCATCAATGACAATATTTTTCAATAACGACACTAATGAATCATATTTCGGGAAGAAAAACATAACGGTACTATTTTCAAATTCCGAAACATGTTTACTTTTTAACTTAAACACACAAACATACGTTAAAAATTAATATTTATCAAGCATTGCTTTGATGTTCACGTTGAACGAACATCAAGGTAGTGTACATCATAAAAGTCTCATTAATCAAGGTAAAAGTTCAGAGTTCAGACATGATATCTTTAACAAAACGAAACCAACTCTCAAGATCTTTATAAGAGTATACAATATACTGTATAATTGTATATATTAGTATAAACTCAATGGAGCTTAGTACATGTGAAATTTATATTAACTTCTAGAATATCTTGCTTAAATCATTGTGCAAAACAAATGCAACATAAGTTGGGATTTGAAGCTATGGTGCCGCAAAGACCACCACGTGAGCCATACCCTGCATTTGCACAGATCTGCTTGCAATCTGAGCTCATTTTACACCTTCCTGTGCATATTGCCTCTTTTGGTTCAAAATGCTTATTTCCATAAGCATCTGATATTGAACCTTTAAAAAAATAAAATTCAATTATTATAAACCTCAATCAACAAATTAAAACTACAAAATTGAAATGCTTCCCATCTTCTTCATAATAAGCTAAAATGAGAGTAAATCATTTTTATAAAAATAACAATACATATTATAATGAATACCTAAGTTTGCGATCATAATAACAACAACCAGAAATAACTTGAAAAATGAAGCCATTGAAACCAACACTTTTTTTGCGATTCCCTGTCTCAATAAATTGCTTTTTTGTATTTGACAAGAGATTGCAAGGCACTAATGTTAAGGTTATACTACGTATATTTATATGCATAGCTGACAGCCTAATTACACGCTGACGTTTATAATAATAAAATTATGAAAAAAAACATTAACCATATATGCTAATTTGGTATGTTATTTATTGGTAATATCTTATCTAAATTAAAGCATCAAGGATATAATAATTAATTCATTTTAGTGTTACAATATTATGTCAATCGCATTTGGTATGTGTCTTAATTTGTCCACTTCTAGTACATGACTATTACGTCTGGTGCATTCACGATGTTTCCGATCAAATTTTAAGCATCAGTCTTTGGGACGATTTTAAGCACCTTAAACATAGAAGGAAAGGGGCCACATACGAACATGAAACAATAGTTATAGATTAAAAGTGGGCCAAGTAAAAATAGGATGATCTAAATAATATAATACATACTCTTACGACAAAAACTCAAATTTATTTTCATTATACTAGGTAATAATCTACAATTTGGAAATAAACAATTTATTTGTTAACTTGTGGTAAACTTGGATTCTCGTTGGTGTACATCCACGGACCACGGGTGCATTTAGTAAGCCAAATTCCCAAACAGGTGCATTTAGTATGCTGAAAAGGCAATTTATTAACAAAAATTATATTTTCCTTGTAAATCTGTATGTGTGATTTTATTTTCTTTATCGAGTAATTGTCGTCAATGGTAAACTATTGAAGTTGGATGATTACTAAAAACTCTAATTTAAATATTCTATTAGCTAATTATATTCTAATCTACACAAAGATATATAAATAACAGAAAATCATTTGAAGTATAATTAAAGAAACTAGAGTGACCTCAATGCATAATGAATTAATGATCATAATGTAACTTTAGGCATAATAGTTATATTGAACTTTATAGTTTATACTATTATGTTCATAATAGTGTTCTTCCCAAAGTGCTATTTTTTTGTAAAGCTATAGGAGCAAACCATGAACACCGTACCGAGTAGTAAGTCGTCACGAGTAATCGGGACTCAGTCTACCAACTACCCCTGAATAAGATATCTCTGAATGATTAGGGGCTACTACTATAACTTCTTCTTAAAAGGGATCATAGATCCAATTGTTACTTCAAACTCAAACTTTACTTCTTAGTAGTAGCAACCCTAATCACCCTCCACATTTATCCGGATGTGGAAAACCGACACCGCGGATTTCTCCCGCGGTGCTCACCTCTTATAAAATCTTTACTTTTATCTTGAATTAATTAAGATATACTTCAAAAATATTTCTCAATCCCTTTAGTAAGTCTCGAAGGTATTTAAAATATTTAATACCCCAAAAGTGCTTAATTTATATTTCTCAACTACCATTTATATAATATCTTCTCAAAATCACATACACAAAATTCACAATTCACACTTAATCACATAATGCATAATAAGCATATAATACGAGGAAACAATTTTGGATTGGCAGAGAAACTTACCTCAAACTCCAAATACTACTCCTAGTAAATTCTTCTACTTTGCTGTTAATATGGGTAAAGTCTAGTAAAGAACTCTAAGCTTTGGTGTTTGTTAAATCGGGTAAAATATTGAATAAAGATTATTCGTTAGAAACTTTTAAAATTATGCTTCAAGGATGACGCATCTTATAAGTGGTAGAGAATGTAACACCTTAAAATTACAAGATTATGCTTCGGGGACGAAGCATCTTTTAAGGGGGTAATAATGTGACACCACAAAAATTTTAGAAATAAAAATAAACAGATATAATTTGTCTAACAAAAATAAAGCAAATATAATCTATCTGACGTAAAATAAAATGAAAGTAAAGAGATAAAACAAAATAGACTAGATATAATTTATATCATAAAAATAGAAAGAAAAAAATGTTAGAGACGAAAGTAAAGCGATAAAATAGTACATACTCATATAATTATGTAGTCTATACGAATAATGTAACTTTGTAAGTAAATTAAATAAATACTCCGTAATAGGTAAGTAGTACTCACCAACGCATACGACATAGATAATACATACATTCGTATACTCACATACACACACGTGCAACATATATTTGTAAATAAAAATATTAATGGGAAGACGAAGCGGCAATATTTATGGGAATTGGGCCGGTTATAATGGAAAGAAGATTCAGGTAACTCACGCCTGACCTAGAATCATCGAAGACGCCTATAAATAGCAGAACAACCATCGACCTCGGGGGCACAAAGGAAAACGAGCGACAAACCAAGCTCTTGAAACATGCTTCAATTCGTATATACGAGTTACGACCTGCTCTAAATAGAGGAAAAGAGAACGGACGTCACCGGAGGGTATGTGGTTGCAAGTCGGCCGGACTGGGTCGACGAAGGGAGGAGTTCACCGGACTTAACCGTCTCCTCTGAACGTCGCCAGTTTGTTGGAGAGGAAGCACCACCGTGAGTTGCTGTCACTAAACCAACCTGCTGCCGCCGGCAGCACACCACCGCTGGAGTAGACATCAGAAATGAAGAGAAGTTGCAAAACCGTAGCCGTCGCCGTACGTGAAGCGTCCATCAACCTGCTACGCCGACGATCTCCTTCACTGCGTGCGTATCTTCATATTCAGCTTACGTTTAATGTTTTGGGCTAAATAATAGTAATAATAATAATATAATTTAATAATAATAATAATAATAATAGTTAATTGGGATAAAAGGATGATGAGTACGGTTAAAGTAAAATAAAATGGACTAATAGGAATGTTAATATTTGGATTACTCATAATAAATTATTGTTCGCTTTTAAAAGAAAAAATTGCCTCAATATTACTGATAACCTTTCCATTTCAAAAAACATGACTTATTTTCTTTTTCCCTAAAATATGACTAGACTCTTCCCCGTAACCCAGCCCATTCCCAAATTCGCAGCCCTCCTTTATCTCAGCTCCCATCTCCACACCTCGCAACCCTCCTCCATCGCAGCTCCACCTTCGAATCCTCCATCGACCGCAAGTAGCATCGAACAACAATGACCAGCAAGCAGCATCGACCACCAACGAATATCGAGGAGTTGTCATCCTCGATCGCAAGCAGCATCGACCAGCAACGAAGGTCGAGGAGTCATCCTCGATGGACGGCGTCGCTGATTAAGGCTTCCACGATGGCCGCCGCTGGTTCAGTCATCATTGATGGCCATTGCCACTGCTGGATTCGCCGTCCTCAATAGATCTACGGCGGCGGCTAGGGTTACGTGATGTGCAGCGATGGATGCTCAGGGGGGTGGTGACGAGTGGCGGCGACAGTGCCCTGTCCGCGACGAGCTCGCGATTGTGTGGGAGCTGTCTGTGATCGCAGGGTGGGGGTCGCGCGACGCGAATCTGCAAGGACTGGTTGGGGGTTGGGGGCTGTTGTGAGGGGTGGGGGATGCTGACTGGGGTTTGGGTGATGCAGGGGAGGGGGAGGGGGTTGGTGTTAGGGAGGCACTGGGGTTGGTGTTAAAATTGAGTTGTGATTGGCGGCCAACGCTGCCAGCAGGCGATGGGAGGTGGTGGTTTTCGGCATGGATGGTGGTGATGGAGTTGGGCGGGCAGTACTGTGGCTGGCCGGTGGCCAGTCACTATGGCCGGGCCGGGCAGTCACGGTGGCCGAAGTCACTGTGGCGATGGGGCAGTCACTGTGGCGGTGGGGCAGTCACTGTGGTGATGGGGCAGTCACTGTGGCGGTGGGACAATTACTGTGGCGGTGGAGCAGTCACTGTGGCGGTGGGGTAGTCACTGTCGCCGGTGGGGTAGTCACTGTCACCGGCAAGGCGAGTCACTTTGACCGAAGTTACTTTGGCCGGAGTCACTTTGGTCGGAGTCACTTTGACCAGAGTCACTTTGACCTGCAGGGTTAGGGGTGATGTTAGTCACATTTTTAGAATTTCTAAAACCAGGTCACATTTTTATCTTTTTCATTAATTTTAGTAATATTAGAATAAAAAGGCCCTTTTAAAATCGTCACTTTTTGTTAATTTGTCATTTTATTTAAAAATACATATTGGCTATTATAAGTGGACTTGTGTTAAATTAAAGGGAGAAAGACCTTAATAGGATTAAAACAAAGGCTATGTATTTAAATAGGGCCTACAACTTTTTAAACCCTAAATAAGACTAACTTTAATCGGTGAGACAAAAGTACCCTTTAACTACTCGTACACAGGGATGGATTTAGGGGGGGGGCGCGGGGGTGCGACCGCCCCCCTTGGACATTTAATTTTTTTTACCATATATGTAATATTTTCATAAAACTTTCATAATTTAATTAGATTCGCCCCCCTTAGCTTTTAATTTTCAAAATTAATATATATAGTCTTACATAATGTAATACTTAATTGGAGATTTAAAAGAAGAAACATCTAAAATAATTTACATAACTTAAACAATAGAGTAACTCGTTATTTAAGATTTAGTATACTTATTATATAAGAATTCCTAGTTTTGTAATGTTTAATTATCTTTATTAGATAACAAGTACTGGATTTCGTAAAACATATATCAAACAATATTAAATACCAGACACACTAATTACACAATTTTTAGATCACGTGAAATGAATCCAAAATATAAATATTTATAGACATTAGATTACATAATTCATTTACTTCTTGCTTTCTAAAAATAATTTATTGCATGGATAATAACCTCTAAATTATTATAGAATTAATAAAATTATTAAAATATAATATGAACCATATGTGTGTGTGGTGCATATTATTCTAAAAATAACAATCTCATACATACTAGTATACTACTATTGTAATATTAAGAAAACTTTTCATGAGTCATGACTCACGAACACCCTCCTTGGTGGACAAAAATTACAATTCAATAACCGATTCATGAGGTTAAACAATGTAGAAGTTATTAAAAATGTATTGGTTGATGTCTTTGTCATCGTCTAAACTTAGAATGTAATAGATTTAAATGTCGTTCGGGATGTGCATGTATTAATGTCATTTTTTGAATCAAAATAGCCGCATAGTCCTACAGTA